GGCACAGCACAATACATAACAATCTTGTTCCACAACCTACTTTGGTGAGTAGCGACTGGGGTCTTAAAAGCATTTGAGTAGCCATCTAAGATGCAACTAATGGCCTCCTCTTGTCTGAAGCAAAGAAGAGTGAAGAAAATCAAGGGCATTTAGAAGCAATAATCACCCTAGGATATGATGGACCTCGAGACCAGAAGAACTAGACGGTGCCCTGCTACCAATGCCAACTACTTGGGAAGGGATCAAAACTGGAGATCCTGGAGAGAGTAGGAGGAAAAACATGGAACAAAATTCAAAAACACAGTAATGACCAGAATTACTGGTTGGATGAAGTCTAGTGGGACCCCAAGACTATACTCGCTGCTGTTGAGTCGGTCCCAACTCATAGTGACCCCTCCTTGGGTTTCTGAGGCGGTATCACTATAGAAGTAGATCGCCCAGTCTTCCTTCCGAGGAGTGGCTGGTAGGTTAGAAAAGCCAGCCTTCTGGTTAGCAGTCAAATGCCTTAGGCGCTATTCCACCCTGGGATAAAACTCACTCCCAAAGGCTGGCTCTCAGCACAACAGTAAAAGACTTGCATTCAGAACACCCAACCCAGAGTGATGCACCCCTCTACTCTACGAAGATACATCGCTTGGAGCAATTGGCCATGGGGTACCAGAGGGGCAACATTCACACAGAGGAAAAGCTGGACAGACAGGAGTATATAACTGAGAAGGGCATAGGGATGGGGGGGGGGGGGTCACTGGGAAGGGAGAGGAAGAGAGTGGGTTAGGGTTAGGGATGGTAATTGGGGAATGAAACTAAATGTATACGAACTGTTGAATGTAAAACAAATTCTGCTCTGTAAATTTGCACAGAAAGCACAATTAGAAAAGAAAAAAGTTAAATGTAGGTATAAGAACACAGGAAAACCAATAATAAAACCTCCCCTTGTTTTGTGGGGAATAATTGTTACTTCATGTTATCTGTATTTTCCAATTGAAATAGGACAGTTTCAGCATTTACAACAATAGTGAAAATGTGAGAGGCAGAATGTAGAGTATCCCAGTGAGAAAATAAAATGTGCTCCAAAGCAGAGAAGGAGTATCAGTCCACCTAGCTCTTTAATTTAGAGAAGCTTAGGGCAAATGAGAAAAAGATCATAAGGAAAAAAGAATCAATAGAGAAGTGCTAAGATAAGATCATTTCATTAAAAGGGAAAGCATTTTGATTCTATGATAGTTAATTTTATGTGCCAATTTGGGTAGGCTACAATTCCCAGGGGGTTTGGCCAAACACCAGTCTAGTTTCCGTCATGGATAGTTGTATGTGATTAGATCAGCTGGCCTCAGGTAGAGCAGATAACCTTCAGTAATGTAATATTATCACCTTCCAAAATGCAATCTATTATAATGTAATCAGTCAGTCAATTAAGGTCATATAAGGGTATAAGGTAGATCCTAAACCTAATCACTTCTGAGTTATGAAAAGAGCAGTAGGGACACAGATACACACAGAGGGGAAGAAAGATGCCATATGAAGATCATCTGCAAGCCAAGGGACCATGGAAGGTCTGAAGCTATCAACAATGAAAGAATCAACAGACTAAAACCCCTCCAGAACGGTGAGAAAACGTATTTCTGTTCTTTAAAGCTACCTGGTAGTATTTGTGTTATAGCAGCAGTAGAAAACTAAGATCCCTTACACCACCTCAGAGTCACAAGGCAGCACCACACTTTATGTCACCTACCCCACACTAAACCAACTGCCATTGAGTCAATTCTGACTCCTAGCAACCCCACTGGGTTTCCAAGGAGGTAAATCTTTATAGAAGTAGACTGCCCCATCTTCCTTCAGCAGAGCAGCTGGTGGGTTTGAACTGCCAACCTGCTGGTTAGTGGTCAAATGCCTTAGGCACTGTGCCACCAGAGTTCCTTTCTCATACACAAGGCACAACCATATTATATCCTCTCTAGATTTGAGCTACTCTTATAGGGCACTGAAGAATTTAGATGATTTCAAAATAAATTAGTCAGTAAAATAAATGATCATATAAATTTCATCTGCTGCTCAGAACAGAACCAAGAGACCAGTGGTGCACTGTATGAATCTGGGGCTATGGGTAGCTGCAGCCTGTAATACCCCTGTCATCACTGGTACCACAGAATCAATAGGGCCATGATGGGGGGAAATTGTGTGTCTTGTTTCTGTAGAAAGAACTGTAGTTTCCTTTCCACACTCAAGGTCAGTTT